CCTAGTTTCCACCAACTTGCAAGAAATCATCGTTGTGTTTATCCGAATCAGGCAGCCTAGTAACCAAATGGCAATCAAATGAGCGAACACGCAAATAATACGTGCTGTGATCTTTGTTATGAGAAAGAGTATAACAACCTAAGATATCCCATATGTCGAGGTTCAAACCCAATCGTCTATTAAGGGAAGAGACACCGCAAACAACACGGAAAAGGTTCACAGATACTTGCATTGTGGTCAACTGGACTTGATGCAGAAACCGGCGTACCAACGGGTCAAGAGGGAACCGAACCCCTCCCTCGACTATGGCCGCGATAGGAAAAGCAACGGTATTCCTCGTGCCCATACGCTTGGCGTCTACTTTCGCCAACGAGAGGGTAACATCGTTGGGAATATTATAGTCCAGGCGGAACATAGCCATGGTCTCAGGGGTATCAACTAGTGAATGGAACTTCCCCATTTAATGAGCCTAAACGGACAGAAGTATGACTTAGATAATAGAGCATGGAACACAGACAGCGAGTAGGCCAAACAAGATGATTAAGACAAAAAGAGGCAAGAGAAGAAGAGTAACAAGAGGACTTACAGAGATTAGAACAGTGGTAGCAAAGCAAGATCAGCGGCGAAAGAAAAAATCTGAGCAGGGCACCAACGAGACTGGTTCAAAGGAACGACAAAAGACCTTTCTCTCTCTTTGAAACTCTCTAGAGGAACAAAAAAGCAGATGAAGGGATTTGTATTGACAGCGAGAGCATTAATTGCACTAGCCGGCGCGCAAGTACACGGAGCACGACCTTCAGTATGGGATCGATGCACTATCTCTGCACACCAATCTCATATCGCCACGTGTCACTACGAAAGGACACATGCAGGAATTGTGTGTCAGGATTGAACCATCACCAAGGCCGAATTGGGGAAAACCGAAACGACGCGATGCTTGGGAAGCAGAACAATAGCTCCCTTCAAGGGGAACCTTAGCGCGAGCTAGGGGAAAATGAAGGGGCTAAATGTGAAATGTGTCGGGTCCAAGCCTTGGGCCGACCCAATCCGCTGAAGTCCAAATCCAAGTGAGCTGGATGAGTATGTGGGCAAACCAATTAAGCCCAACTTCATGATCAACAGTCCACCCAAGTCCTCAAGCACTTGGGTGCAACCCGCAGTGGAAAGGCTGGTCCAGCCATGGTGCTAGGCTAGGCCGAGCTGCGAGACTAAATCTATGGGCCGAACAGAAAATAGGACGAGCCCATGCAAAGTTACCTGAATGGATAAGCCCATCTCCATGAGTGATCCTGTAAAGGCCGAGACAGGGCATACTGATGCCGAGCTGAGGTATGTCAGTACCGAACTGAGGAAACCTCGCAAGGAAACATGGAAACTATGAACGTGTGCATGTGCAGGTTGCCACCTCAGCTGGTCCCCTGCACCTAGAATCACGGAAGTTGTTGAACCAAAGGAATGTGGTTTGTTATCAGCATGACTACTATGAGTATATGCATTTATTGGCAACTAACAGGTGGTCTCCCACCATGAGCCATGCCAAAGGGACACCTGGCAGCATCCGAGCTCCATAAACCCACTTTGAGAAGCAAGCAAGGAACACTATATATACAACATGAACTTCATATTGAAGGTAACTGAACAATTCCAAGTACAACTATCAGCTCAACTCGATATACATTCTCTCTCTGATCACTAATTCCTACACCGGAGGGGTTATCCGGCCAACCCCGGCCGGGCAGCTCTAACGGTGCTTCTTGTGGCAAGAACCTCAGTCCCTGGATAGTCCAACCGAGTGCGGAGCCCCGATCCACATTCATCTAGTGCGAAATCCGGTACGCACAATATTTGATATCATCATCAAGAGTTACTCTTCTATCCAACATGCCTATGCCAGAGAATGCCAAAGATGCTACTGAAAATTTCAAGAAGTTCGCAAAATTATGATATGCTATGTTTTTACCCGGTAAAAATCAATGTGTGTTGCACCAATTTAGCATATGTACACTTCGAAAACATTAAGATTTCTATATATATATATGATATTCATGCTACTTTAAACTACTCACACTTCATTTTTTCATCTTTTAGTTCACCATAAAAAAGTGTGAATATCATTGAACTAATAATATTCTAGCAATATGAATATAAGTACACTTAATGACAACGGGACATACAAGGAGAACTGGTGTTTTTTTATTCTAGTGAATTAGTTGATACTATTATAATATTATATTATAAATACTAATAAATACACAAAAATGATGATAGTGGCATATCAGGTGAATTGGTCTTATGGTTGGTGAGTAGAAATAAATTGTGGATTGAGGGAGAAGGGGCCACCGGTTATATATATGAGATAATATATCAGTTGGTGTACTGCAGTAAGGGATTCTTTTTTGTGTGTCCCTCAAAGCAAGGGGACCATGGCTCCCTATTGCCATAATGTAGATCCTCTGTTTGTCCATATGGACATTTTAATTAATTAATTAATACTCAAAAACCAATTCGTGGAGGGAGCCTCTTATTTGAGTTATTTTCCCTGAAGTTGTTGTGCGGAGAATCCTTGCCATCCCCGTCCCAATTCTTCCTACAGAGGACAAACTTGTTTAGGGTATGACCGAGAGTGGAAATTACTCTGTCAAATATGCTTTTTTATTGTTTATGGCTCTTAATGAGAAATTTCATTGCTTCGATAAGTTAAACCCTCACTTGAAGAAAGTTTTGTATAGAATCTAGTCATTGAAGATCCTTCCTAAGGTTTTATCCTTTCTTTAGAAGGCCATTCATCATGCTTTTCCAATTAAAAGTTGTTAATGTGCAAACAAGAAGTTGAAATTGGACTTCTCTAAACATGTATCGGGAGATTTTGATAGTGGAAGCCTAGTTCTTTCAAGGAATGGTTTTTTTTTTTAATTGGATATGTTGGTGATTACCCTTTGGGAAGATTTTTTCTTTTCTTTTTTTTAATGTTGATCTTATGCCTAGTGATATATTGGCCTTGATTAATGATCTTAATTCTTAATTTTATGCTTTGAGTGAAAGAGATTTGCAAGTGATGGATTGATGGGAAGCCAAGTGATGCTCTACAATACCATCCAAATTGTTTAAGGAGGTGCCTGTAAAGAGGTTACGTGGAGGTTGTTGTTTAGGCACATAATGTTGACTATGCAACAAATTGCTACATATGTTTTCTGATTATGGACATTAGTGGCTAATAATGTTTGAAATGTTTTAATCCTTTGTTTATTATGTTTCTTCTTGTTCCTAATAAAAATAGAGAGAGAAAGAAGAAAAAAAGACAAGTCTTACCTTGCACATGGATACCTACAACTCATCAAACATTGATCAATATAAGCTATGTCTAACAACATTTTTAGTCTCTTATGTATGTGATTTGTGTCATTTTTATTAACAATTTTTAAATTGTAAAAAATGTTTTAATTTGGTTACTTAACTCTATTAATCGATGAATCGAAACAAAAAGTACGTTTTCAGTTATATATGCTAAAGGTGAGTGCAAAAACGTTATATTTGTAATTTTATATTTAAATTTTTGAATAGCTTGAAAATTGAGGAAAACCATAAGTAGTTTTGAACCGTTTAATGAAGGAAAAAATAAAGTCATTTTAACAGTTGTTACATATGATAGCTATTGGGTGGAAAGAGATGACAATTATTGAGTGAACATGGTATTTTTGAAAAAGTAAAAAACTTGACAGTGGCTCAAACCAATTTAAATATACACTTTATATAATAGAACAAACATACTGGAAAGTGTGCATTGTAATAGGCAATTATAGAATCCAGGGTGTGCTTAAAATAAAAGGTAGTTCTGAAAAAAAATAAGGGTTATTTACATAGAGATTATTTAAATTATTATGAAGTATCATTTTAATTTCCCAAACTATAAATGTATACAAATGGATCTCTTAAATTATTAGCGTGTTTCACTTTGACTCCATCTGTTACTACATTGCCATTTTTGAGATGAAAATACTTTTTAACACTATATAACACACCCAACAACACTTCTTTTCAATGTTTCTCATTTTTTTTTTGTTTGATTATTATTTTTAGATATTCTTTTTGTAAAAATATATTTATAAAGAATATTGAAAAAATAATAATGGATTAATGCTTATACTAAAAAAATAAAATAATAATAATAAGGAAATACTAAAAAAATAAAAATAATAATAATAAGGAAATTGTAAATATATAGTGTTGAATGGTATTTTCGTCTAAAAATATTTAGAAGTTTGGTTTAATCCATGGTGCAGTAACAGAACGAGTCAACGTGAAGCATGTCACTAATTTAGGAGATCCATTTGTACAAGTTTATAATTTAGTCAAAATGATACTTCTCAATAATTTAGAATGTCTTTGTGTAAATAATTCAATAAAAAAAAGTTATGACAAAAGTTTTCAAGATTAATATAGATATGAGTCGTGCTACATCTCCTAATTTTGTCCTCCTAATTCCACCTTTAATGATGTTGCCCACTCTTATATGAAGTAGTCCAACACTCCTCTCTCTCTCATCTTTAACCTTCCTAATTTCACATCATTAAGGATAAAATTAGAGAAACAAAATTAAGGGGATAAATCATTGTACGATATACTCCTATGCCTCACTTTTTTCGCTTTCCAAAAACAAAGTAAAAAAATTATCCTTTTCTCATGTAACTCACTACAAGTTTACTAATTAGAGAAATGTCAAATTTTAACGTTTTGAAAAATGTTAAATTTTGACATTTTGAACTCATGTAGTATAACCTCCAGCAGGTAGCATACAAGAAACGCTATATATTTTTTTTTAATACCAAATAAAACTTTCTTGAAAATTTGTAAAGAAACCTTGATAAATGACCTTGAAGCCACATCATACATTTGATTCAACAAATGAATTAGTAGCTAGTCTTTCATGAGAGAAGGAAATTACTACTACCTTCAAAGACATCAATTTGTCATATAGTGAAGTGGTAGAACTTACTACAAATTCACAATGCCATTTCTTGATTTTGCGTGTTTGCTCTGTTCATCCAAACACCATTCTCATCACATGGGAAAGAAATGAGACCGGGACATTCTACTTTCTCCCAGTGGATCAAATTGGGAAATAATCTCCTAAGGTCCATCCAATGCATCTGGAAGTCACTCAAGTACTTCAATTGCAACATCACAATTGTGGTAGTTGCTATTTGGTCTAGATGACACAATAGTCCTCCTCTAATGTGGAGTTTCTTCAAGTTCTTCAAATTGCCAGACGACAACCAACTGGGTGCAACCATTTCAGGGAAACACTCAAGCTCTAGTTTTTGCAATGAGGAAGGAAGTTCCACCTGGATAGGAAGTTCCAAATCATGCTGCTCGGTGAACGATGTTGTTAGTGCTCTTGTTAGATTGGCACGTGGCTGTGGTTGTGGTTGTCCTTGCTTAGGTGTGTCATCTGTTTCGCCTTGTAAAATGCATCCTATCCAGGATATTTTTAACTTTTGCAAAGTTTTTAATCTTTGTAAATGACGGAGCTGCTTACTTACTAGGAATTCTTTCATATTGGTGTGTAGGCTCAATTTTCTCAACTTTGACAATTTTGTCAAATCATCGATAGTGCATGAGTTTTTGTCATTGGAATCTCCAATGATAAATCCCTTAAGAACTTGGAGTTCTAATAGTGAACCAAGGCCCTTGGGCATGTGATCTAAAACGTAACACTCAGATATGTCTAAGTGTGTCAAATTCCTAAGTAAGCCAATCCAATCTGGAACAACCTCAAGATTGTGACAAGCTTTGAGATCTAGGATCTTGAGATTAGTCATCCGTGAAATACACTGAGGAAGCTTTGTAATCAAAGAAATTCCTCAAAGACTAAGAAATCTCAACTGTTTCATATTCTTGAGTGCATTGAGAATTTTGGTGTCTAGGACTTCAATGTGATACGTGACCAAGTTTTGCCACCTACCCAAGTAAACAATTTTGAAATAGATGAACTTGGAAAACCCTTCAAACCTGTCATCAATAATAGCCTCACCAACATTGAGGAGGCATTTATAGAAGAAAAACAATGGAGTATGATTACACGTACCCATAGTGCACACTGCTTTAAAGCAAAACTGGCGTAAAACAGAATGAATGGAAAGGTGCATTCTGTAGCTATCCACGGCCAAGCCACAGTTTTTGTAGATAGGCTCGATAAAGCCCTTTGTAGTAAACTTATCCAAGAACTCATTGCTAAATTCCCCTGCCGTCTTCACCAACGCAATTTCTTTGGCCGTTGCCGTTGAGGTTGAGAATGTTGGGGATACAAGTGTTGGACAATCTTCACTATATTTAAGTAGATTAAATTCTGTTGTGTACTAAACAACAACTAGAATATAAAGAAATAAAAGAAATGAGAGAATTTGTTTGATTACAAAAATCAAACTAGAAATAAAACAAAATAAATAAAAACAAATTTATTTTGCCACAAAAACAAAATTAAAATCTGATTTAAATAAATAAATAAAACAGAATAATAAATTAAACAACTTACTTGATTAATTTCTTTGAATAATTATCTAATCAAGTCCAGTGTTTGACACTGTGTCCTTAAGACAGATTCGTCCTCTCCTCGGTGCTTTCAGAATTTGAACGTCTATCTCCCAGGATAAAATGATCTACTACAAACAATAGCAGCACTACAAATTGTTTGTTTTATGAACACAATTAAGTGTTTAAATAATGCAACAAAATGAAGAATGAATTTGCAGAGCTTTTAAGGACGAAAATAATGAATTTTCGGAATCACTAACATCAAATGAGGGTTGTCCTATTTATAGATGTAATTGTGGCTGCAGATTTTGAATTGAACAGGTGCAAACCTGTTGGTTTTGAATTCAAACAGATTTGAATCTGTTGGGTTTATAATTCAAACAGATAAAAAATGGGAAAGGACTTGTTTGGATGTACAGTAAAACCGAACCAGTTTATTTCCGATTTAATTTGAATTCTGGATTTTATTTTACCAAAAATAAAATTAAATTCAAATGTTTTTGGTCCAAAAAGATTAGTATTGGGCCGAACAAGCCCAACCAACCGGGAGAAAGGACCATGGAAAGCGATCATTCGAGTTCTTAGATAGCTAAGATTCACCCGTGATCATGGTTTGAACTTTACTCGATATCCAACAGTACTTGAAGGTTATTGTGATGCCAATTGGATATCGGATACTAAAGATTCAAAATCCACTAGTGGATATGTCTTTACTCTAGGAGGCGCTGCTGTTTCTTGGAAATCTACGAAAACAAACTTACATCGCACGATTCACAATGGAATTCGAGGTTATTGCTTAGACAAAGCAGGAGAAGAAGCAGAATGGCTTCGTTACTTCTTAGAAGACATTCCAATGTGGCCAAAACATGTGCCAGCTATTTGCATTCATTGTGATAGTCAATCTGCAATAGGCAGGGCACAGAATCATATGTATAACGGTAAGTCACGACATATTTGTCGTCGACATAATACCGTAAGACAATTGTTGTCAAACGGAATAATCTCAATAGATTATATAAAATCTAAAGAGAATATTGCAGATTCGTTAACAAAGGTTTAACAAAAGAGCTAGTGTATAGTTCATCAAAGGGGATGGGATTAAAGCCTATTACATAAGAGTCGTCATAATGGTAACCCTACTTATATGACTGGAGATCCCAAGAACGAATTTCAAAGGGACAACTAAGTTATGTTATGGCTCGCCAGAAAATCACCAAAGGATTAAGTTCCTACCCATTCCTATGGTGAGAGTGATATCTGCAACATATGTTGTATGCAGGGTATAAGGATAATCTTTGCTTTTAATGAATACTTATATCTTGATTAGGCATAAAATCAAGACGAGTATAAGGAGGTACTCACAATAAGAATCACCTATATGAGTGTCGAACTGGGGCCGGTTCTATGAGAATAAAGAGGCTAAATTCTCTAGAAACACTTATGAAAACCAGGAGCGTTTCAAGGCCAAAATGAACACAACAGTGAGAACCACGATGTGTTAAAAGATATTTTGTGTGAAATCTGTTGTCTTGGCTTACACAAATGGCTGAACAATTCAAGGCATTGCGTCCATTGGTTAGCCAATAAGTCCGATAGGTTATCACTAGGAAGGTTCAAGGCCGAAAGCTACCTATCCTGATGCAAGATATTTTCGACTTATACTCTTTCGATAAAGTCTGCATATTGTTGCATTTCCGTTGTCATCAAATTCCATTCATGTGGGGGATTGTTGGAAATGGTTATAAAATTCTGGGTAAAACTAGGATTTTTTTTCTAAGTTTGTCTATTTTTTTAGGTGGGCTCCGTGCGTTGATTTTCACGGGTCAAAGTGGTAACGCGTTCTATGCCGCCTGTGATTCACGTGGTATATTTGGTTGCTCAAAACCATTACCGAGTGAATGGGAAATTGAAGCCAAAGTATGCTCCATGGAAATGGAGTTTTGGTGAAAATCCTTGAAGGTATTGAATAAGGCTTGTCCCACATTATTTGGTGGGAAGTTTTGAATGGGTTTATAAGGCATGGGTGTTAGTACTTGGGGTGTGCCCCAAGGGGTACCCAAGTGTTTTAGAGGGAGAGGTTATGGACAAAATGGGCTAGACCCTTGGACCCAAAAATCACCATGCGCGCGCACAGCCGCCGTCCGTCCGGTCGGGCGGGCGGGCTGGGCTGGGCCTGGCTTGGGCGTGGTGTG